AAAACTGTCAGGACTCTCCTTTTACTATGTAGGTACTTGGGTACTCAGATCATCAGGTTACTTTGTGTAAACACTTTTAATCCCAGCATGTGGGAAGCAGAGGTAGGTGAATCTTGGGGTTTGTTGTGGCCAGCCTTGACTACATAGTGAGTTAGAAGACAACCAAGGCTATGTAGAGAGACTCAGTCTCAATAAAAGAGGTTATTTAAAAACAAAACAAAACAGAAAAACAGAGTGGTGGTGCATGCCTTTAATCCCAGCCTTCAGGAAGCAGAGGCAGGTGGGTCTCTGTGAGTTTGAGGCCACTGTGAGTTTGAGGCCAGCCTGGTCTACAGAGTGAGTTCCAGGACAGCCAGGGCTGCACAGAGAGACCCTGCCTAGAAAAAACAACAATAAAAAACCCAGAGTCTTACTAACTATGTAGCCTAGGCTGGCTTGGAACTCTGTTGTTCCTTAAACTCATGGTCTTTCTGCCTCTACCTGTGAATGTTAGGATTATAAGCATGAGCCACTATGCTTGGTTTACTAGTTTAAATTTTCATAATTATCCTATAAAACTGGTATTCTCATTTTATAGATAAGGAAACTGAGGCATAAGAGACTGTACATTAATTTCCAGTAATACCTAGATGTAGGTAGTAAAGGTGGAATTTAACTCTAGCTTGTTTTTAGTGTGACCTCATTGTTGAGACTGAGCACCATCCTTCTTGTATGTATGTGTATGTATATGAATGTATAGTGTATGCATTCATACATGTAGAGGCCCAAGGTTGACTTTAGACATTTTCCTCATTTACTTTTCGCCTTATATGAGGATTCCCCAGAGCAAGCTGGCGACTAGATTGACTGTCCAAAACAGCAAGTTCTGAGTTCAAGTGAGAAATCCTGTCTCAATATATAGAGTGAAAATAATTGCGGAAAACACCTAAAGCTGTAAGCTGTCAGCCTGTAAACCTGGAGTACGGTGGCAAACGAGAGACTGCCTCACATAAGGTGGAAGGTACAGAGTGACGCTCAGGGTTGTCCTCTGATCTCTACATTGTGGTAGGGTGTGTGCACACCTCTATGCATGAACATGAACACAAACAAGTGTTTTAAAGAGTGTATATCCATCTTAGGAAAGTATTGCATACTTTAATCAAGCATCTATAATTTCAGCTATGTATACTCTTTACTCATTTTTGGTGGTAATTTCTTTCCCTAAAACCGTAAGGTCCTTATCTTTTTGCTTGTTCTTAATATTTATTTTTATGTGTATGAGTGGTTTGCCTCCATGTGGGTACACCATGTTGGTGCAGTGCCCTTTGCGGCCAGAAGAGGGAGATGGATCCCTCCTGGAGCTGGCTTTACAGATGGTTGTGAGCCATGTGGGTGCTGGGAACTGAACCTGCATCGTCTGCAAAAGCAGTGAGTCTTCTTTACTGCTGAGCCATTTCTCCAGCTCCAGCAGAATGTTTTTTGTTTGTTTGTTTTTTGTTTTTGAGACAGGGTCCCACTATGTCACCCTGGCTGGCCTGTACCAGATTGGCCTTGAGCTCATAGAAATCCAGCTCTCTCTGCCTCCTGAGTACTGGGATTAAAGACATATGCCATCACACCTGACTGTCTTTATTTTTATTTCTATTTATGTGCATGTGTATATATTTGTGTGCATGTGTGCCATGTGTGCAGGAGCCTGTGGAGACCAGAAGAGGGCGTTGGATCCCCTGGATCTGGAGTTACAGGCAGTTGTGAACTGTCTAACATAGGAGTTGGGAACCGGAGTCCTCTGGAAGAGCAGCTAACCCCCCCCCTCCCCCAGCTGAGGACTGAACCCAGGGCCTTGGCTCTACCACTGAGCTAAATCCCCAATCCCCCTGCAGCAAAATCACTGAGCCTTCTCTCTAGCCTCTGGCTCTTCTTTTTTGATGAACTGTTGAGCCAAATCTTCATTCATTTACAATAATTTGTATGTGTGTGTGTGTGTTCATGGGCGTATGGAGCTCGTGTGGAGGTTAGAGGACAGCTCGCTGCCACATGGTCTCAGGGATGGAGCCCACCTCATCAGGCTTGGCAGCAAGTGTCTTTACCTGTTGAATCATGTATCCGGCCCTCTACTAGTTTTTGTATGATTGAAGATTTGAATCGTAAATAGAAGATTTCACATATATATCTACTTTTATTTTTATTTTTTGAGATAGGGTCTCATATAACTCAGGCTGGTCTTAAACTCACTGTCTAGCTAAGGATACCTTGACCTTTTCTGATTCTTCAGCTTCTATCCTCTGAGTCCTAGATTACAGGCATGTATGTGCCAGCTCCTCCAGCTCACTCCGTCTGTTTATGCATGTGGCACTGAAGATCAATTCCAAGACATCATATATAGCAAGAAGTCACTTTTATTGAGTTATACCCCTCTTTTTAAATTTAAAAATATTTCTTTTAGTTTTTGAGATTATAATATAATTACATTATTTACCTTTTCCCTTACCTCCCTCTAAACTCTCCCATGTACCCCCTTTTCAAATTCATGGCCCCTTTTTTTCATTATTATTACATGCATATGCCTTTCTACATATACACACCTAAATGCGTAAGAACAACCTGCTCAGTCTGTATGTTACTTGTGTGCATGTTTTCAGGGCTGACCATTGGCATTGATAAACAGTTGTTACATTCTCTGGGGAAGACGGTGTCTCCCACTCTCAGCCTTCCTGAGTTGCCTGTAGTTCTGTGTGTGTGGGGTTGAGGTTCCTAGACTTGCCCCTCCCTCCATGTTAGTGTGTTTATTGTTGTCTTTGTTCAGTTCTTGTTAGGCAGTCATGTCGAGGCTCTGAGTGGAGCTTCTGACGTTCTTAGGAGGCATAATGTCACAGCAAACTTAAAAAAAATTTTAATTATGTGTCTGTGTACGGGCCTTGTGCATGTGATGCAGGTGGCCAGAGAGCCCCAAGGAGGAAAGAAGAGGTTGTTAAATTCTCTGTAGCTGGAGTTGCAGGCAGTTTTGAGACTTCTGATGTGGGTGTCCTCTCTCTTAGTTCTGTTAGTTACCCATCGTCATTCCTTCTGTAGTCTGTAAGATTGGTAAGTATACATTTTCACTGATTTAAAAAGTGTGTGTCTGGGAGAAATGGAGACAGTTTGTTAAGAAAAAGGAAGGCATGTCTAACAATGGAGTGCGGACAGAACTGGGATAAGTCCATAGCTCAAAAGCCCTGAGTTCCTAGTATCGTGACGCTCCCTTTAAGTCACTTATGTAGGAAGTACTGCTCCTACATTGTATATCATGTGCATTTCTCAGGGGTGCTCTGACCCTTACAGATAATCCTGATGGGGTTGGATTTCCAGTCTTTTTGCCATCTGGCTTCATATGTTAATATTTTTCAATGTTTTTATTAGCATATATTAGTTGTTTATAAAAATGAGTCTCATGTAGCATCTTTATATATTTACATAATGTATTTTGATCATATTTGGGTACCCCTACCTTCTCTTGCCCCCTTCTAATTCCCACTAATCCTCTTCCTCTTCCCAACTAGTCCCCCTTCTACTTCTGTATTTTGTTTTTTTTTTTCCCCCTGGACCCAGTGAGTTTCATTGGGTAGGGTTATCTATAAGAGCACCAGTGAGTTTCTTTATGGGAACATGAGTGCTACCATTGGTTTCACCACTGAAGAAATCCCCCCATGGACCATTAACTGTATAAATTCTCAGAGAGGATCCCGAGGATCCCCTTGCTCTTGCATGGCAAGAGCTGATGTGGTCCAGTTTTGTGCGTATCTAGTGCAGGAAATCATAGCTGCTGTGTGACTTAAAATTTTTAATAGGGCTGGGGCATATATAGTTCTAGAGATAGAGTAATTGCTCAGTCCGTTTAAGGTTCTGGATTTGATATACAGCACAGCAACAGCAAAATAAAAACCTAAACAGTACGCTATGGGAGGTTGTTAAATTACTTTCTGTGGTGATGTAGATAAGGCCTTTAGTTAGTTCATGTTGACATTAAGCCAGCTAACACATCAATCTAACTCTACAATGATTATTTTTATAGATGTGTGTTTGGGATAATAGGTGTTTATTAGTCAATTTTCTACCATTATGACAAAATACCTGAGGCTGTACTTAATAAAGAACAGAGATTTATTTATTTCCAAACTTGGAGACTGAAAGTCCCAGTAGCATAGTGTTGCCCTGGTATCAGTGTCATAGTATATGACATGATGGTGGCAGCAACTTTTATTTGTTTTATTTATTTATTTTGTTTGTTTGTTTGTTTGTTTTTTCGAGACAGGATTTCTCTGTGTAGCTTTGGTTCCTGTTCTGGATCTCGCTCTGTAGCCCAGGCTGGCCTCAAACTCAAAGAGATCCGCCTGCCTCTGCCTCCCGAGTGCTGGGATTAAAGGCATGTGCTACCACTGCCACCAGGCTGGTGGCAGCAATTTTGAGGAGAGATTACATGGCAGGACCAAAAACCGGCAGTTAGTGAGAATTCAGGACAGTTGGTAAGATTAATATTGTGTGCCACTAGGTCAGGCTGCTCTACCTCTTAATAGTCCCAGCATGACTACACTGAGGACCAAGCTTCCAACACAAACTGTGTGGGAAGACACACTTTTGCCATACCAAACCACAGCTGGATGGTAGGGACAGTCTCCATTTAGGACACTGGATTTTCTGATTGAAGATTGAAAACCCCTCCCCGCCCCTCCCCAGTTATTGGCAGAGTAATCTTTTAGAACTGCCCCCCTTAGTTAATAAAAGAACAATTGTACAAATAGATTATAATTTTACTTAAGTGTGATTTTTTTTTTCAATGTATGTTAGAAAGTCCTATTGTATATTGAATGTTGTTAAAGAAAAAAATAAGCTACCTTTGTGGATTCAGAGTCTTGGTAGGGATAATAATTGCAAGTTGGGAATTGACCTTTATCATCATCATTATCATTACCCTCTCTTGTGAGAACTACCTCTTTTCATTCATAGGAATTTAAAAAGTTGTTTGTTTGTTTGTTTTTTCCCAGCTTGCTGAACTAAAGCAAGAATGTCTTGCTCGTGGTTTAGAGACCAAGGGAATAAAACAAGATCTTATCAACAGGCTCCAGGCATATCTTGAAGAACATGGTGAGTACTTTGTGGAGGGAACATGATATGAGGGAAGCAGTAAGTTTCAAGCTCTGACACTGAAAAGATTTCTTCCTCTCTTAGGTCATTCATTGGTGATGTAAGGTCTAAATTAACAACATCAAGAAAACTTTTAGAGATGGTCCTGGTGGCTCATGCCTCTAATCCTTGCACTTGGGAGGCAGAGGCAGGAGGATCACCTCAAGTTCAAGGCCAATCTGATTTACAAAGTAAGAGTCTATCTCAAAAAAAACAAAAAAACAAACAAACAAAAACAAACAAACAAACAAAAAACCACAAAACAAAAAAAAAAAACCCAAAAAATACTACCGGGCTGAGCTGGATGTTGTAGTACATGTCTGTAATTCTGTACCCAATAGGCTGAGGCCTGAGAATCAGTTTGAGGCCAGCCTAGGCTACAGAGTGAGTTCTAGGTCAGCCAGAGCTATATAGTGAGACCCTGTCTCAAAAAAAACTATGTGTGTGTATTAAAATATTTTTATTTGTTTTATACTAAAGAGATAGGATCTTGTCATGTTGCCTACTTGGCTGTGATTATTTTCGCATGTTATTTAAAAATTATCATGGAGGGGGCTGGAGAGATGCTCAGTGGTTTAGAGCACTTGTTGATCTTGCAGAGGACCTGGATTCAATTCTAAATACCCACATCGTGACTCAAACCATCTGCAACTCCAGTTCCAGAGGATCGGGTGCCCTCTTCTGGTGCACATGATATATATACATAACATGCAGGCAGAATACTCATATATATAAAATGAGTAATATTTATAAAATTAGCCAGTCCTGTAATCTCAGCTGCTTGAGAAGCTGAGGCAAGAGAATCGAAGTTTGAGGCCCAATTGAACAACTTGGTGGGGCCATACCTTTAATGTGTGTGTGTGTGTGTGTGTGTGTGTGTGTGTGTGTGTGTGATGTATATATGTATGTATATACAATGCTATCATGCTGTTACTAGTTTAAGAGTTTGAAGGCTTTAATTTTAATCTATCTTGTGCAAAAGTTGACTACAATATGTTTGGACAGTCACTGTTTGCAAAAGCTAAGTGTTTATCTTTCACAGTATCAAGACAAGTGTCTGGACCTTTGAAATTCTTAAACTAGGTAATCTCTGGTTCCTCCTGGACATCATATCCCCCTATTCTACCTTGAAAATAAATACCGCCCCCCCCCAAAGTAAGGTGCATTTTATCATCTCAGTTTGTACACATCTTTCTAATTTTTATTTATTCTCTTGTATTCCCATTCCTCATTTCATTTCCTTTGAATACTCTTAGACACCCATTCTTATGTATTTGATATATTCAAGATACATTTAGGGGCTGGAGAGATGGCTCAGTGGATAAGGGCATTTGCTTTGCAAGCATGGGGACCTGGATTTGAATCCTAGCACCCATGTAAACGCTGGATGTAGTCTCACAAGCCTATGGGTGCTGCGGGTGTGAAGACAGGAGGATTCCTTAGGCTTGCTGCCACCAGGCTAGTTCCCGGTTCAGTGAGACACCCCATCTCAAAGAATAAGGTGGAGAGCAGTTGAGCAGAACACCTTATGGCCTATACATGTGCACATATACACATGCATCACATAGATACAAACATATAGAATCAACATACAAAATAAGATATGTTGCCTAATACAATATTTTAATTTCTATCATTGGTATGGGTATGTCTCACTTTTTTCTCTAATTATTATTATTACTATTTTAAGTTGTATACATGGAGATCTGGGAAGATGATCTAGTGGGTAAGGGCTCTTGCTGCATAATCATGTGGACTTGAGTTTGGTTCCCTAATACCCAGGTGGGAGTTGGGTATCCGTACAGGTCTGTAACCTCAGCCCTGGGGAGTAGCAGTGGGCAGATCCTGGGAGCTTTGTGGCTGGAAAGCTCCAGGTTCAGTGAGAGACCCTGTCTCAAGGATGTGAGACAGACCATGTTAGAGCAGGATGCTTAACTTCTTCTGGACTCCACACATATACATAGGTGTACTCACCTACATACATACTCACACACACCCACACACAGAAATAAACTAAAACTTGTATCTGTGGCATGAGGTTTTGTGGTTATTTGCTTTATTCATTCCATTTCTAGAGTGGCTTTCTATGATATATAACCACCCCATTTAAAAAAAATTATTACATTTACGTGTGTGTGTATACACATGCCATGGTGCACATCCCAAAGTCTGGTGGATGACAGCTTGCAGGGTCAGTTCTCTTCTATCATGTGGATCCCAGGGATTGAATTCATGTTATGAAGCTTGGTAGCAAATATCAGAGCCATCTCACCGGCCAAGTTACCACATTCTTTGTTCCATTCCTAGACAGACACCTGTATTTCCTCCAAGCCCTAGGTGATTTAGTGGTATAAGTATGTAATATATAATACTGTACATTACATATTATTAGTATTGTTAGGATGTATGGTTCTCTTATAAACTACTTTTCTCTATGTGCTTGTGAAATTATATAGTATATACCTAGATTAATATTGTAATTATTATATATCCACAAATGTATAAATACTTAATATAATTTAGTACTGCCAACTTGCTTCCTAAAATTGCCTTACAAATATTAGGATATCAGGATTCTTTTCCTTTTTTTGGTTTTTGGGGTTCTTTTTTTTTTTTTTTTTTTTTTTTTTTTTAGACAGGGTCTCTCTGTGTGACAGCCCAGGCTGTCCTGGAACTTGCTTTGTAGGCTAGGCTGGCCTTGAACTCACAGAGATCCGCCTGCCTCTGCCTCCACCTCCTGACTGCCGGGATTAAAGATGTGCACCGCCACCATCAGCCAGGGTTCTTTTCTTTAAAAAATAAAAATATTTATTTTTAAAAAGGTTTTATTTGGAGCTAAAGAGTTGGCTCGGTGGTTAAGAGCACTAGTTGCTCTTGTAGAGGACCCAAGTTCAGTTTCCAGCACTGATATAACAACAGTTCACAACCTTTTCTAACTCCAGTCCTGAGGGACGATTCCCCCCTTCTGGCCACCAAGGGCACTACATGCATGTATACAGACATACATACAGGCAAAACACCCATATGCATTAAAAAAAGATTAAAAGAATTAAAAGGAAAAAATTATTTTTATTTCATTTATATGCGTGTGTGCCTAGTGCCTGAGGAGGCCAGAAAAGGGTGTTGGATCCCCTGGAACTAGAGTTAAAGGTAGATGGTTGTGAGTGGTCATGTAGATGCTGGGAACCAAACGTAGGTCCTCTGCAAGTGCTCTTAACCACTGAGCCATCTCTCCAGCCCACTCAGGGTTCTTTTATCTACACAAACATATACTTGGTTTTATCCTGTCAAGCGGCCTAGTTTTGCTGATCTGTTTAAACTATCTCTGTTCCTGATTTGCTGGGTTTGCTGCTTGCTCACCAGTGCTAGAATGGCAGGCATGGGGTACCTTGCTGGTTTTAAACACAAATATCTTTGTCATTGGTCTTTTGTGTTTTTTCCCCTGGGTATTCTTTAGTAGTGCATAGTTTTGAAAATAATTTTTTCACTTATTTTGTGTGTGTGCGTGTATATGTGTGTGGGTGTCCAAGGAGGCCAGTAGAAGGTATCAGATTTCTTGGTGCCGAGATCACAGGTAGTGTGAGTTGCCCGATTTAGGTGCTGGGATCTAATTAGTACTCTTAACTTCTGAGCCACCTCTTCAGTACCTACCATTTTGTTTGCTTGTTTGCTTATGTTTTAAAGAACTCCTTTCCTAAGTCTCTCGCTATTTTGCTTATGATCCACTAATGGCGGAGGCATCTTTCTAGCCCTCCACCACTTTCAGAGATATTTGTTATTCTGTGACACACTCTTGCTCTGTCTCTCTCTGTCTCTCCTCCCTCTTGCTCTCACTAGAGGTCCAGCTTGAGTATTGTTCTTAGGAACCATCACCTTGTCATTTTAGTCAGGCTCTGTCCCTGGGATCTGGCTGCCTGGCTCCCCAGGTCTGGGATTACAAGGTCTACCACCACTACCATGCTTGACATTTTTATGTGGGTTCTGGGAATTGAACTGTGTTATCTACACACACACACACACACACACACACACACACACACACACTTTTTTTGTTGCTTATTTGAGACAGGGTGTTATACAGCCTAAGCTGGCTTCTGTAACCAAGAATGGCTTTGAATTTACTAATTGATTTGTCTCTATCTCCCAAATTCTGGGATTACAAGGCATGCACCACTATACCCTGTCCTAATTAGTTTTAAATTAATTTTATAGTGTGACTTACTTACAATCTAATTGCATCTAGTTATTCAGTTCAGATGGAATTCAATTTTATACTTACATTAGATAGAGATCTGGTTTTATCTTCTCTAAATATGGCTTATTTTGTAAAGATTGGTTCTATCATCATTATTGAATATAATTTTGGGAAGCAAAGTGGTTGTAATTTTATCTTATCACAGTGATCAGGATGGTTTTATATCAGGGCTTGACCTGGATGTTTCAATGTTCTCTAGCTGAAGAGGAAGCTAACGAAGAGGATGTCCTGGGAGATGAGACCGAGGTGAGTGGGAGGTCGTCACTGGCCTGGTCATGTGCCACTGCTTTGGCTAAATTGCTTATTGTCGGTCCTTTGGGTTCTTAGGTGCTTAAGAGGAACCAAAGACTGGTTCATTTTCGAGTTCTTATGTTGTCTCGGTGGAAATTCCTTTATTTTCTTAATAAACTTTAATGTTTTTGAGCTAGGGTCCCATAGCCCAGGCTGGCCTAATATTTGCTATGTAGCTGAGGATAACCCGAACTTCTTTCTTTACTTGTTGTTTGTTTGTTTCCTTATTTATTTCCTTCCTTTTTTATTTTTTTCATTTATTTTACATACCAACCACAGTTTCCTCTTCCTCCTCTCTTCCCATTCTCTCCCCCCACCTCCTGTCTACTCCCCCATCCACTCCTCATAGAGATCTGCCTGCCTCTGCCTACCAAGTGCTGGGATCAAAGAAAAAAAATTGTGTGTATAAGTGTGTGAAATACTGGGCTCAAGCACATAGAAAGGAGAACTTTTCTAGATTATTCTCTTCCGCTCTATTTGAGGCAGGACCTTCTCTTACTGTTTTTGCTGAGCTGGGTTTTCCAGGCTAGCTTACCCAGATACTTCTTGTCTCAGCCATCCCTCTTGCTGTAGGACTGCTGGGTTGTAGATCAGCACATTGATTCTGACTTTTCCTTGGTTCCAACTCAGGATTTCAAGTTGATACTACTGAAAGGACTACGCAGACACCATGACAGGCTGCTCAGTCTTCTCTCAGAGATCAGGCCTTAATTTCAGTTTCCTGAGACTTGAGCAAGCAGTTTCTGGGAGGGCCGTTAACAAAAGACATAGATAGTCCTTGCAGTAGCTCCCTCTCTGCACATACTCGTACTCTGACTATTCAAGGTTCAGCCAGTTTACTGTGGGACCCCCTCACCAACTTAGAGCTGTATGTGCATGGTCAATGTGAACATGTGAGGCCAGCCAGCCAGTCTCCATAGCAGCTCAAGGACAGAGCCTGGGACTTGTCCAGGCCTGCCCAAAAAAGATAACTGTCACCCCCAAACAGTAAATTCAAAGGCTGCACACTCTCACCCAATCATATGATGCAAAGGCTTGTACCACCCTGCTTGAGGTTTTTCCCTTTAAAAACCCCTCACGCTGAGAGCTCAGGGCTTGCTGCTTATCAGTAAGCCCCTGTGTGGCTTGCACTGGACGTCGGCGCTGTGGTGGTCTTGCGGCACGAGCACACCACCACCAGAGTCTCGCCTGCTGACCAGCCGTCTTGCTCTTGCTGGCTCTAATGGGTATTCTGTTTTTAAAACTTTAAGATTTTATTTTATTATGTAGGTCCGTTATGTTCACGTAGGTGCAGCGCTTGTGGAGGCCAGAGGCCTCAGATCCCCTGGAGCTGGAGTCATAGGCAGTTAGGAGCTCCTGAAATGGGTACTGAGAATCAAGCTTGGGTCCTTGGGAAGAGCAGTTAGCATTTTTTTTTTTTTTTTTTTTTTTTTTTTTATTATTATTATTATTATTTTATAACGCATTTTTTTTTTTTTAAGGCAGGGTTTCTCTTTGTAACAGCTCTAGCTGTCCTGGAAATCTCTTTGTAGACCAGGTTGGCCTCAACCTCACAGAGATCTGTCTGCCTCTTGTTGTTGTCTCTGTGCAGCTCTGTCTGTCCTGGGACTTGCTCTGTAGACCAGGCTGGCCTCAAGTTCAGAGATCTGCTTGCCTCTGCCTCCCAAGTGCTGGGACCAGAGGTGTGCACCACTAACCCCTTGCTCTTAATGGATAGTCTTGATTTATGTTAACTGTGTTGTTTCATTTGGTTTTAGGAAGAAGAACCAAAGCCCATAGAACTGCCTGTTAAAGAGGAAGAACCTCCTGAAAAAGCTGTTGATGTGTAATTATTCCTTTTTAATAATCTTTTTTTTTTTTTTTTTTTTTTTTTTTAAAAGCCCTGGCTGTGCCTGGAACTGGTTTTGTAGACCAGGCTGTCCTAGAACTCAGAGATCCACCTGCTCTTGCCTCCCAAGTGCTGAGACTAATGGTGTGTGCCACCACACACAGCCCTTTTTAATAATCTAAATAAGAGCAGATAGATCTATTTTTTTGGTGTGCTAGTGTGTCAGGTGTCTTCCTTAATCACTGTTCACCTTAGTTTTTTGTTTTTTTTCCCTGAGGCAGGGTCTCACTAGATAGCCCTGGCTGTCCTGGAGCTCATTATGTAGACCAGGCTGGCCTTGAACTCACAGAGATCCACCTGCCTCTGCTTCCTGAGTGCTGGGATTGAAGATGTACACCTGACCTGACTCCACCTAGTCTTTGAGACCAGCTCTCTTACTGGCACGGAGCTCACCCAGAGCAGAGTGACCCTCTAGTGAGGCCCAGGCGTGCGTCTCCTGTCCTCACCGTCTAGTGCTGATCTCTTAGGCACCAGCTCCACACCTGTCCTTTTCACAGGGAGACTGTAGCTTGAATTCAGTCCCTCTGGTTCTGTATGGCAAGCATTTACCAACTAAATACTTAGCCCAGATAGTGCTTTAAACAATACTGGTTTAAAGTTTCATTCTATTTACTTGTTACACATTCCCCCTAACCTTTCCATTTCTGATAAGGTCAGGCACTTTTAGAAAGGTCTGCCTGCTTTAGGTATGTTTCCATTGGAAAAAAATGAGTTTTTCTCTGTGCTATGTATTAGATAATTAGAACCAGGTTATCTTCAAGACAGGCACAGTTCAGTTCTCCTAGTCTTTGTTCTTTTGTGCCCACCATAATAGATTATTAGATTAGAATCTATGATTCCCTGTGCAGTATAAATTTCTATAAAACCTTTTAGCATCAGCCTCTGCCTCCAGAGTGTTGGGATTAAAGGCATGCTCTACCATGTCCAGTCCTGTAAAACCTTACTCATAGAATTTTATACTTTTACAGAAAACTTTTTACTTTTGTAGAAAAGCGTGAAACTTTTTCGTGTATAAGGAGTTTTGTCAGAGGGAGAGATTGGTAGAAGCTGTATCTCATGTAAGTCTACCCTCTATGATTTATGATTTACAGTGGAGGGAAAAAGACAAAATACCGAAGCAGAAAGTAGATTTTGCTTTGTTTAAATTATCCTATGAGGTTACTCATGAACATCGTATTGGGGCTCTTTTCACACATTTGTAGCCATTTTGCACTGTGAGACATTAGGCATGGTGTAGTCCTGCCATCTTTGTTCTTCATAGCAGTGTCGTTAGTCTGAAACTGATCTTCTGTGTAGCTCAGCAAGGTGTAAAACTCATAGTCATCTGTCCTGCCTCCTGAATGCTGGTATTACAGGTGTGTGCCTGTAGTTTTGTTAAGTGCGTTTCATTATAAAAGGCAGTGTATGAACCAGGGACTATAGGTCAGTGGTGGAGGGCTTCCATGACATGTATAAGGCCTAGTGTTTAGTTCTCAATTTTTAGGATAGCTGGAATAGACCAAAACCTTTAAAATGCAAAATATACAGAGAGAGAGGGGCAGGGAAGAAGGTAAGGTGTTAAATAGATCATAGAAGATTCTAGAAGTTGCAAATGAAGGGTCTGAGTATATTGCTTAGTGAAGTACCCTGGATTTGATCCCTTACACCACCAAAAAAAAAAAAAAAAAAAAAAGCTAGAAAACTTAGGGGCTGAGGAGATGGTTGGTGGTTAAGAGTATGTAATACTCCTAAACAAGACCCAGGTTTGGTTCCCAGCACTCGCATAGCAGCTCACAACCTGGGTGATTCCAGTTCCAGAGATACAGTGCCCTCTTCTGGCCTTTGCAGGCACTACATACATGTATATACACGTATGCAGGCAAAACACTCAAAACATGTAAAAGGAAATTGAGCACATTCCATGAAACTTTACAAAGGTTTTTAGTATTTTTTTGTGGGTGTTTAACATGGAGTGTGTGGGTGTGTATATGAATATGTGAGTATATGTTTAGGTGCTATGCATGTTTCTTGATTTTTCTTTCACATCTGGGAATCTTTATATTACATTAATTATTTAAATGTTATATGTTAGACATAATTTTAATATTCTGTTTTATTAATCCTTGCATCAACCTTATGATGTTAATTGTTCTAGCAAGTGGTCAACTTATCATCCAGATATAATGGCTATTAACTTTGGAACCTTATCCTTTCTAGTAATTATACTCTTCTCTTTTGGGTCTGATGAAGTAGCCCAGGCTGGTGTGGAACTTGGCTATTTAGTCAAGAATGACCTTGATCATCTAATCCCAAGTGCTGGCATTATAGACTTGAGCAACCACATTTGGCTTCAATTAGTATCTTCCTTTCATTGGAGGAATAGTAATTTATTTCATCAGTTTCCTGTTGATAAACATTTGGATTATTCGTAAAAACAGTAATTGTAGTGTTTTATGTCCATATCCAACGATTCTCATAGTTATTCAAGTCACATCCGGAGGATGAATGTGCACTGGAAGATTTGCTGTATCACACAGAATGTGCATTTATCATTTTGATAGATTTCTGTCAAATACTTATAAAACTGTTAGTTTCTGTCTTAGTATTCTATTACTGTGAAGAGACGCCATGACCATGGCAACTCTTATAAAGAAAACATTTAACTGTGGCTTGCTTATGTTCAGAGGTTTAGTTCATAGTCATCGTGGCAGGAAGCGTGGCAGCACAAAGACAGACTTTCTGCCAAGCATGCACCTACAGCCTTATGCAGTATAGCCTCTGATCGGTTGACTGATCAGAGAAGAAGAGAAGACTAGGGCCTGGTTGACTGATGGTTCTGTACATTATGCAGGCACCACCCAGAAGTGGACAGCTGCAGCATTACAACTCCTTTCTGGGACGTCCTGAAAGATACTGGCAAAGGGAAATCTTTACAGTGAGCAGAACTTCGGGCAGTACACATAGTATTACAGTTTGTTTGGAAAGAGAAATGGCCAGATGTGTGGTTGTTCACTGATTGATGGACTGTAGCCAATGGATTGGCTGGATGATCAGGGACTTGGAACGAGCAGGATTGGAAAATTGGTGAGGAAAACATCTGGGGAAGAGGTATGTGACTAGATCTCCCCAAATGGGCAAAGGATGTGAAGACACTTGTGCCCCCGTAAGTGCTCCTCAAAAGGTGTCTTCCCCTGAGGAGGAGTTCAGTAATCAAGTGGGTAGGATGAGCCGTTCCGTGGAGAGTCAGTCTCTCTCCCCTCCTCGTTCGTTGTCCAGTGAGCCCGTGAACAGAGTGGCCGTGGTGGCCGAGATGAGGGTTATACTTGTGCTCAGCAACATGGACTTCACTCACCAAGGCTGCCCTGGCTGCATCTGCTGCTGAGTGCCAGATCTGCCAGCAGAAGAGACCGACACTGAGCCCCAGATATAGCACCATTCTCGGGGTGACCAGCCAGCCACCTGGTTGACTACATTGGACCACTTCCTCTGTGGAAAAGACCATGCTTTATTCTTACTGGAGTAGATACTTATTCTGGTTATGGATTTGCCTTTCCTGCATGTAATGAAGCCAAAAATCACCATTCATGGACTTACAGAGTGCTTTATCCACTGACATGGTATCCCACACAGTATTGCTTCTGACCAAGAGAAGTGCCACAGTGGGCCCATGATCATGGAATCCACTGGTCTTACCACGTTCCTCACCCTTCTGAAGCAGCTGGCCTACAGAAAGATGGAATGGACTTTGGTGTTTTGAACACACCGTTACAGTGCCAATTCAGTGGCAGAATCTTGAGGGCTTGGGCAAGGTTCTCCAGAAGGCAGTATATGCTCTGAATCAGTGTTCAATATATGGTACTGTTTCTCCTCTAGCCAGGATCCATGGGTCCATGAATTAAGGAGTGGAAAAGAAAATAGTTAGGCTCACTGTATCACCCCTAGTGATGCATTAGGGAAGTTTTTGATTCCTGTTCCCACAGCTCTAAATTCTGCTGGTCTAGATAGAAGTTTGGTTCCACAGAGGATAGTACTCCTATCAGGAACCATAAAGAGCAATCCATTGAACTGGAATATCAGGCTTCTCCTTGGTCACCTTGGACTTCTTCTTCTTCTTTTTCTTCTTCTTCTTTTTTTTTTTTTTTAAAGATTTATTTATTTATTATGTATACAGTGCTCTGTCTGCATGTACGTCTGCACTCCAGAAGAGGACACCAGATTTCATTAGAGATGATTGTGAGCCACCATGTGATTGCTGGAGATTGAACTGGGGACCTCTGGAAGAGCAGCCAATGCTCTCAACCTCTGAGGCATCTCTTCAGCCCCGCTTTGGACTTTTAATGCCCTTAAACCAACAGGCTAAGAAATGAATAACAGTGTTAGGATGGGTGATAGATCCAGATTACCGTGGGGAAATTGAATTGCCTCTCCACAATGGAGGTAAGAAGGAACATGTCTGGAGTGCAGGAGCTCCATTAGAGCGTCTCTTGATGCTACTGTGCTCTGTGATTAAAATGAATGGAAAACCACAACAGTCTAATCCAGAAGGGATCCAAACGGCACAGACCCCTCAGGAATGAAGGGCTGGGTCATTCCTTCAGGAAAAGACCCAAGACCTGCTGAGGTGCTTGCAGAGGTGCTTGCAGAGGGTGGAGGAAATACAGAATGGGTAGTAGAGGAAGGTAGTTCTGAACACCATCTAAAGCCACATGACCAGTTGCGGAAACTGAGGATTACAATTGACATGAGTGCTTCTGCTGTATTTTGTTAAGAATGAATTTGTACAGATATTTGTGTTTTCTTTTAGTTTCTTTAACATCAAGAGAATATCAATGGTTATCATATTTAAGATTTAGATGCTAAAAGGATGTCCCTCAAGGGACATTGCCACCTATTCTAAATTTATAATGCATTTATAATTGTACATGGGATATATATGTTTAGGAGTTATTTTGACCTGGTTCTTTTCATTTGGAAATTAATCATGATATAAGGAGATATGGTTGTATGTCAAGTTGACAGAGGGTGGATTGTGATGGCTATTTTTGGATGTCAACTTGACTATACCTGGAATGAACTACAGTCCAGAAATGGAGGGCACACTTGTGATCTAGATCTTGAGGTTGGAAGACAACATGCCTTTGATCTGGATCTTGAGGCGGGAAGACATACCTTTAATCTGGGCCACACCTTCTGCTGGAAGCCTATATAAGGAGAATGGGAGGAGGAAGGGTTCATTCATCCTTCGCCTGCTTGCCTCACCTTGTCAGCACATCCATTCCTTCACTGGCGTTGGAGCCGACTTCTCTGGGATCCCAGCATATACACATAATCTGTTGAGATACCCAGCCTCGTGGGACTGAGAAACTACTAGATTCTTGGACTTTGTGTTCAGCTAGCGACTGTTGGATTAGTTGGACTGCAGCCTGTAAGTCTTTCCAATAAATTCTGTATATACGTATAAGAGAGAGAGAGAGAGCGACTTTCATCCCATACGTTTTGTTACTCTGGAGAACCCTGACTAATACATTAGGGGAAGGCTTTTTGTATGTGACTAGATAGAGAAATTAGTCAATGAAATGGAAATTTCCCATGAATCCTATGAGGATGTAATTGTATTTATTGCCTGAGTTTGTGTCTAAAGGAATTGGTATATAATATGAGGAAGTTCCCTCTTGGGTTCCCCTTCTACTCTGAGGTCTACTGTAATGATTGTTTTCAAGATGTGAGCATGGAGGCTGAGATTGTAATTTAGTTGGTGTGGTGTTTGCCTCATATGTTTAGAGCCCTGGGTTCAGTCCCCAGCACTTCGTAAAACTAGGTGCAGGGTTGCATGTTTATAATCCCAGTGAGAGGTAGAGGCAGAAGGATCAGAGGTCAATGTCATCCTTGAGAAATTGTCTCAAAAACAACAAAAAACAAACCAGATGAGAATGTGGCAGTCACTGTCCTGAAGTTGATGGGGAAGCCTGCCTCTGCCTTCCTCTGCCTCCCAAGCCTTGGGATTTAAAAGGTGTTTGCCACTATATTTGCCTTTGCCCCTCTATCTTAATCAGGGAAAAAGTCACAGAAGTTTGTTTTATTTGAAGTCTAATTTCATTAAAAGGACAGTCCTCTTGGGCCTAATGGCTCGTGCCTTTTTTGTCTTTGAGTCAGGGTCTCTCTATGTAGACCTGGCTACCCTAAAATTTGGTATAAACCAGTCTGGCCTTGAACTCACAGAGATCTTCTCAAATGCAGGACTTAAAGGTGTGTGCCCCCATGTCTGGCTGTGGCCATGCTTTTAATCCCAGCACTTAGGGAGCAGAGCGGGGCAGATCAAGCAAGGCCAGCCAAGTCTATATGGGAAATTACAGGCCAAGCCAGGGTTGCAAGATGAGGCCCTGTCTTCAAAAGAGAAGTGGGGAGTGCGTAGTGACATCTGTGATGAGAGGTGGAGGCATGAGGACTCCGAGTCTGAAGATAGCTCCGACCTCATGGGAGAAGCCGTGCTCAGACAACGGCAGTGAAAAGATGGAGAGTTGGTGAATTTCTTAAAAGAGTCTGAGTATTTCTGGGCTGATCTGAATCCCTTATCTATCCAAAGGGAAATCTCTTTACGTCATCTTAGGTCTGAAGTTACGTGTGAAAACAGCACACACACACCCCAGTCGAGGCTGTTAATATTGTAAGGCTTAGTTATGGTCAGCAGGGGGCATCCATTGCTTGCCTGTTGGTCTGAGGACCTCCAACAAAAGGATGGAGGACAGAGTCAGGTCCTATTCCAGAATTGCTTCCTCTGAAAATGCCATTAAACCATTACTACCTTTCAGGGCATCAAATGGGAAAAGTGTTTAGGATATTGGAACAAAAGCTGCCCATGTCTCTAAACAAGGGACCTTAATGAGACTGGTTATGACCCACGGTTTTATGGGAGTTGTTTGTTGGAGAGTTAATGCCCTTCCATTTATCCTGGGACTTCCGAACTTTGTCTCCTGCCCCTGTGGTCCCCTTCTTTTGTTTTCTCTTAAACCTTTTGACCAGTAACTCACCATGTTTTCCTGATTCAACACCCCGTCTCCTTAGCCTTTTCCTCCACTTCCTGTGGCAGTTTTGTTTGTTCTGCTTTGACTGTTCTCACTAGAGCTGAAATCCCACGGGAGCAGCAGAGACTTAGGGAGGATCAAAATCAGGGCTTGCACGTCACGGTGAAATACTGTGATGAGAGTGGAGAGCTTCCATTTAATTGAAGGTTGGAAAGAGGGTTCAAAAGTAACTGTAACGTTCCTAAAAGCAAATAGAATGATTTATGATTTAGTCCCTTTAGCCCAGTATATTCAGCCTGACTTCTTTGCTGATTACTTTCTTACACCTTAAAGTAGCTTAGTTTTAATTTTTTCCTCTCAGTAGACGACAGTTCAAGGAACCAGAGTTCTTATGGACTTAATGTTTCTTTAGATTAAAGGGTGGTAGACACATATGGGGCAGAGGATGTGACTCGGGTGAGTTCTTACACATTTCTAAGCTTTTAATTTAAAAAAGTAATTTTCTGATTTTTTTAAAAAATCTGTCTTTTCCTAGGGCATCAGAAAAGAAGGTGGTAAAAATTACATCTGGAATACCTCAGACTGAAGTAAGTATTCTTTTTAGTAGCGATCCCTCTCTCATTCATTTTTTAAGATATTTATTAGGGTGAGGGTGCATGAATGCCATGGTACACATGTGGAAGTCAGAGGACAGTTTTCTGGAGTCAGTTCTAGCCTTCCACTTTGTTGAGGTAGGGGTCTCTCTCTCTCTTTTAAAAACATTTTTAAAAATTGCCTTTTATTTATCTGTCAGTTGTGTGGATGAGTGGGGGGGTGTGGGGGGTGTGGGCGAGGGTGCGTGTATAGGTCAGAGGACAAGTTGGGGGAGGTGGTTCTCTTCTAGCATGTGGGTTGCAGAGACCAAACTTAGTCAGCAAACAACTTTACCCCCTGAACTATCTCCCTGGCACAGTCTGGTGGTCTCTTGTCTGCGGCTGTGTTGTGTGCCCCAGGCTGACTGGCCAAGAGCCTCCAGCAGATCTCCGCCATCTTGCGACGGGAGTGCTTGGTTTGCAGATGTGTGCTAGCACATTTGGCTTTTTACATGGTTGTTTTTTTGTTTTGTTTTGTTTTGTTTTAATGTGGGTTCTGGGGCATTCTAGCTCAGGTTTTTTAAGACTTGCACAGCATGCACCTTCACCCACTGAGTCCCCATCCTCCACCCTCCACCCCCATCCCCCCAGACAGGGTAGGGTTTCTCTGTGTAGCTTTGGAGCTTGTCTTGGAACTCGCTTTGTAAATCAGGCCGGCCTCACAGAGATCCGCCTGGCTCTGCCTCCCGAGACTGGAATTAAAAGCGTGCGCCACCACCGCCCGGCTGGTTTTGTTTGTTTTTTGAAACAGCATCTTACTCTGTAGCTTAAGCTAGCCCCAAGTATAATCTTCACAAATCAACCTCCCAGGTGCTAGGAGTCTAGGTACATGTCACTGTGCCTGGCCATTTTTTTTAACCCTTTCTTCTGTCTACATCATTTAAAATTTTTCATTTAGGGCTGTTAATTTGGCTTTGTAGGTAAAGGTACCTGTGGCTAAAGTGACAACCTGAGTTTGATCCCCTGGAACCATATGTTAGAAGGGAGCAAGTGAGTTACATATGTTGTAGCATAGATGCATACATCCATGCATGCACACAAAATTAAAAATAAATAACTGTAAAAAAATTAATAATAGACAAATTCAATATTGACAATTGATGTTCCTTTCTCTACCTACTCAGGAAAATATTTGGGCTGGCAGGGTGGGCAGTCACCTTAAAACTGTCATCTGTTACATATACCACTGTGGTCTTAGTAGTAACTTCACAGGCGTAGGATTAGAGTATGAGAAGTTGTGTCTTGGAAAAGTAGCAATGGTAGATGAGATGTTCCCTTTAAATTGTTAGTTAGTAGCTGGTAAGAGTGAAATCTCTTTGGATTCTTATTTTAAGATGTATGAAAACAGGTTTCATTTGAGATCTTGTGTTAAGCTTTATATTTTCAAAGTAGAGGGTTTTTTGTTTGTTTGGTTTGGTTTTTTGAGATAGTATTTCTGTGTCGCCCTGGCTGTCCTGGAGCTCACTCTAGAGACCAGGCTAGCCTTGAACTCACAGAGATCCGCCTGCCTCTGTCTCATGAGTGCTGGGATTAAAGGCATGTGCCACTACTGCCCTGCTCAAAGTAGAAATTTATTTATTTTAGATTCAGTCAAATAGTGTTTTTTTAACTCTTAGATTACTTGTACGGGAACCAAGATGTTCCTTTGATCTTTTCACAGGGTGACCAAATACAACTTTTGGGGTTTGTGGTTTGTGTAGAATTACTCTTTTTTATTGTTGCTGTTTTTGAGAATGTGAATGTAATAATAGTTGTGTGTGTGTGTGTGTGTGTGTGTGTGTGTGTGTGTGTGTAAGTTGCTTTTTGGAAATAGTTGTTGTGTTAAGCCTGAGAATGGATACTACTTAATATGGTCTCAAGTAGTCAGTGTTTTCAGTTAGACCTTAGGAAATGACCCTAACCGACTTCTTTTTAACGAGACATTACAGTGTTCTCTATTTTCGTCTGTCATCACTTAGAGAATGCAGAAGAGGGCTGAACGATTCAATGTCCCTGTAAGCTTGGAGAGCAAGAAGGCTGCGCGGGCAGCCAGGTGAGTGTTTCTAGCCCTTTGGACACAAGGTGGAGATGTTAAGTTTAGTGCAGGAGGTCAGATCTTTGTGTCTAGATATAATTGTTAATTTTAAGTGGAGTAATGTTCTCATTAAAATTAATGAATACATTTGGGCCATAGTCAGAACATTTCTGCTGATTTGAATATTGTCACTATGCATTGGGTTTTGTCATCAGTGGTCAGGATTCTTACAATAGGTAAAAGCAGAACAAACAGCTGCTCCTGAGTGTGAGGGCTTTTAGTGGACTCCTGGACTCTTGGTGAGAAGGAGAGTAACTGAACCTCTTTCATGGGGTTGTTAGAATTAGCTAATGATTGCAAAGTTTGAGATCACAAGGAAGAAGTGTCATGTACCCTTGACACGGACACAGACAACTAAGAGTGTGAACAGCTTCCTAAAATTTAGCTTCTCTTTTCTTCCTACAGATTTGGAATTTCTTCTGTTCCAGCAAAAGGTGAGAATACAGAGGTTCTTCTAAGAAAATTTACTTTCTTTCTTTTCTGAGAATAGATTTCATTCCTCCAAATTAAAGTAAATTTGTTAGCTCCAGAAGCCCTTAAAGAGTGAATAGCATTTGCACCCTTAAGACCTTAGGAATGATTAAGAGAAGATTCTGAAATTATGATAGAGGAGATCTCACTGTTTATTTTCCTTTCCTAGGACATCTGAGAAATTTCCGGTATCTTGTTTACTTATTTTTGTGTCTTATTAGCATAAAGTTATTGTGTACTTTTTCAGGGCTCTGAGCTAACATAAGGACTAAAAGTGAAGGAGACTGTATTTAATGTCACAATTTTACTTTTAAGAGCTTAACAAAGAAGTGATCTTTGATACACTTAGACTTAGCCGTGAGACTTATGTTAGCATCACATATTGATCGATAATTGGAAAAAATGTATCTAATACAGGATTAAGTGTATACTCTAGTATAGTGGACTACGTGGAATGTTAAAACGCTGCTTTAGGGCTGGAGAGGTGGCTCAGTGGTAAAGTGCTTGAGGAGAGTTTGAGCCCCAGAACTCGGATTTAAAGAGCAGCAGAATATGGTGGTGCGCCCTTATAATCCTAGGGCTGAGCAGGCTGAGGTGGGGGGATACCTGGGACCTTCTGGCCTGCCAACCTGCCTAATTGGTGAGCTCTAGGCCAGTGAGAGACCCGTCTCAACCAAACACAACTAAGTGGACAGAGCCTGAGGAACCATGCCTGAGACTGTCCTCTGGCCTCCCATATACACACAAAATATAATATTTTAAGATAGGGTATAGCAGTGTATTCCTGCAATTCTAGCACTGAGACTGAGGCAAGAGAATTGCTAGTTGAAATCAAGCCATATAGTGAAAAAACCTGGCTGGGCGGTGGTGGCGCACACCTTTAATCCCAGCACTCGGGAGGCAGAGCCAGGCAGATCTCTGTGAGTTCGAGGCCAGCCTTGGTTACAGAGTGAGTTCCAGGAAAGGCTCCAGCTATAAAGCCACACACAGAAATCCTGTCTCAAAAAACCAAAAAACAAAAACAAATAAACAAAAAAAAAAGTCTTAACTGAGGGGTGGTGGTGCACACCTTTAGTCTTGGGAGGCAGAGGCAGGTGGATCTCTGAGTTCAAGGCCTAGAGTTCCAGGACAGCCAAGACTACACAGAGAAATCCTATCTTGATAAACAAACAAATAAATAAATAAAAATGGGGTGGGTGAGGGGGCTGTCTTAAAAAAGAAGGGCCTAATGGCTGGATGTGTAGCTCAGTTTGTAAGGTACTTGCCTAGCATGCAGGAGGCCCTGGTTTTGAGCCCTAGTACTATGTAAACCAGGCGTTATAGTGCTTGCTTGAATACTAGCGTTTGGATCGCGGAGGCACAAGGATCCAGTTCATGTCGTCATTAGCTACCTAGGGTGTTGGGGGTCAGCTTTGCATGGGGCTCCAGCAAAAGAATCCTAGGTGTGGGGTGTGGCCCAGTAGAGAGTGCTGGCCTGGCATAAGCAAGGCCCTGGGTTTGGTCCTTAGAGCTTGCCCTCCTCACAGAAGGATGAGATATTTACCAGTTAGAAAGATAAGTGGAAAGGCAAGTTCTATAATTATATTACCAAATAGGTTACTGTCTTATTTATAAAAGAGAAAGTATATGGGCATGAAGAAAAGATCAGAAGGATATACACTGATTTGTTTGTATTAATCAGGTCATGTTGCTGGAATTTTGAATGACTTTTTACTTTTTTTCTTAATCCATACAATAAATATGTGTTATTTTTTAAAAAAGAAAATAATAAGAAGGAAAGTTACATATATATTCTCTATGTAGCCCTGACTGACTTGAAACTATATAGACCAGGCTGGCCTCTAACTCAGAATCCACCTGCCTCTGCCATCCGAGTGCTGGGATTCAAGGCGTGTACCATCTCACATGGCTTCAAAGTTGTGTCTTAGAAAAGAATATAGTACCTGTTCTCCAGGATTTAATGTAGCTACAATCCAATCCTGTCATCTTGTGATCTTTCAGTAATTTAATGTGTTGAGAAAAAATGTCCCAAAGAGGTCGGGTTGCTATACTTCAAAAACACCAAGGCTTGGAGCATAACCTTGGGTTTGTTCCCAGCACTTTAAAACAGAATAAGAAAAATCCTGGCTGCCATCACTAATATTTTAGAAATGACATGTTTTGTCACTTTTGGTTATATCAAAAGAAATCCAGTAGAATTGGTGTGGATACTACAGAGATGACTTAAAAGATGATGCTTTATGAAGAAAAATAAAAGCAAAAATTAAGCCAGATGATATGGCCCAAGTGCTATAATCCCAGCACTTGGGAAGCTGAAGCAGAGTCACCAAGAGTCAAGGCCAACCTGATTTACCGTGAGACTCTTTGTCTAAACAACTTTAAAGCTGGTCATGGTGGTACACACCTTTGAGCCCAGCACTGGGAGGCAGAGGTAGGCAGATCTTTCTGAGTTCCAGGATAGCCAGAGCTATGTAGAGAGACCCTGTCTCAAAACACCACAAAAACAAAACAAAACAATAAAATAAAACAAAAACCAATTCTTCTCTGTACTCCCCCAGAAGCAAAAATTAATAATCTGAAAAGGAAACTTGGTCAGTAATGTAATATATAAGTAACATTTGCAGTGTTATTTATACATTCTGACATTAGAACTACAGAATAAGCCGAGCAGTGGTGGTGGTGCACACCTTTAATCCCACCCAGCACTGGGGAGGCAGAGGCAGGAGGATCTCTAAATTTGAGTCTAGCCTGATCTACAAAGTGAGTTCCAGGACAGCCAGGGATACACAGAGAAGCCCTATCTCGAAAAACAAACAAGCAAACAAACTACAGAATGACTCTTAGAAGAATTTAGGAAATGTGAAAGGAAATAATATTTTTTGAACCAGAGCATAAGACAGACACTTAATAGTTCATATATATTGGAATGTCTACAGTGGGGAGCTAGGGAACCCCTCCTGAGAAATTAAGGTTAGTTGAAAGTTTAAAAAGTTTTGTTGTGGGGTAGCCCCCATTGAAGACGGCTCAATAGAAAGGGTTTAAGTCAATAGAAAGTCTTTATTGGGCTGGAGAGATGGCTCATTGGTTAAAAGCACTGACTGGTCTTCCAGAGGACCCTGGTTGAGTTCCCAACACTCACATGACAGTTCACAACTGTCTGTAACTCCAGTTCTAGGGGACCCAACACCCTCATACAGACACAGATGCAAGCAAAACACCAATGCACATAAAATTAAAAAAAAAAAAAGTAAATACATTAAAAAAAATAAAGTCTTTGCTGATGAATACACTTGGTGTTTGGGATCCCAGTGTATAGCCTTTCCCAGGGTGAGCTTTTGTACACAAAAACTATGTCCTTGGTTGACATACTTCAGTTAACAGTTAGCTAGGAGTAGAAAGAACTTCAGAAGCCAAAGAGCAAGTTTAGTACACGTAGAGACTATGGAATTTGATGGGTTAGGCCTTTGTTTTAGTTTTGGCAGATGATGTGGTCCATGTGGTGAGTTTTACAGCCTGAATGGTACTTCCATCCTGGATGATTGTGCTAAGGTCTCAGGGCTTACTAAGATCTTGGGCCCTGTTACAGTTTGGAACAAATAATTGTCACCAAGTATAGTGGTACCTACCTGTAATCCAGCTCTTGAGGGTGGAAAAGTGGATGGCGCCTGTTCAGATGCTCAAGTTTCTGGGTGACATTTCTCATTCAAACCATCATGCGTACATACAGTGTGTAATTCATTGGAGCTTTTTAGTTCATTCAGAGGCCTGTGCAACATTACAGTGAATCTGATATTTACTACCCATGAAAGGAATTTTGTACCTATTACCAGTTATTCATTCCCTCTTTTACCCTAGTGTTTAATCAACTACTGATGTTTATCTCCATTTATAAATTTAGCTTCACACAAATGGAAGCATGTATGATATGTGATCTTTTGTAATTAGCTTTTTCATTTAGTATAGTACTTAACTTTTTTTATTGTTTTTGAGACAGAATTTCACTTTGTACCCCTGGATGGACTCAGACCTGCTGTGTAGCTTACTTAGGCTGGTCTCCGATTTACGATCTTTCTCCTTTAGCCTCCCAAATGCTAAAATTACAGATCTGCATCACTGGGCCTGTTCTGTATGTCTTTTTTTTGTTTTTGTTTGTGTTTTCAAGACAGGGTTTCTCTGTGTATCCCTGGCTGTCCTGGAACTGCCTCTGTAGACTGGAGTGGCCTCAAACTCTCAGAGATCCACCTGCCTCCCAAGTGCTAGGATTAAAGGCGTACACCACCACTGCCAGGCATGTATGTCTTATCTCTCTGTGTATATAAATGTTGCTTTGCCACTGAACATTCTCAGTCTAACATGTTTCCAAGATTGATGATATTAAAGAATATTTCATTCATTTTATTGCTTATAGTATATTCCACTGTATGGATATGTGTAGCTAGAGTTTTCCTGCCTTGCCCACAGTTAGGACAAATCTTTGTCACCTGCCAGTCCCACAGCTGCTCAGACCCAACCAAGTAAACACAGAGACTTCTATTGCTTACAAACTGTATGGCCGTGGCAGGCTTCTTGTTAACTGTTCTTACAGCTTAAATTAATCCATTTCCACAAATCTATACCTTGCCACGTGGCTGGAGGCTTACCGGTGTCTTCACATGCGACTTGCCATGGTGGTGGCTGGCAGTGACTCCGTCTGCCTTCCTGTTCTTTTCTCCTCTCTGTCAGTCCCGCCTATACTTCCTGCCTAGCCACTGGCCAATCAGTGTTTTATTTATTGACCAATCAGAGCAATTTGACATACAGACCATCCCACAGCAGATATGCCCCATTTTATTTAACCAGTTATCAGTTGATAGTAGCTTATAGCTTTCACTATTTATCTGATACAGTTAATGATGCTGTGAATATTTGTAAGTTTTTGTATGGATGTATGTTTTTCAATTTTTTTAACTCAATGTCTAGAAGATAACCTAGATGGAGTTGGTTCTCTTCTTCACCTTGCTTGGACTCTGGGGATGAACTTCAGGCTTGTGCACAAACACCTTTACTTGCTGGGCCATCTCACCAGCCCCAGTGTCTGATTCTTATAACCACAGAACAGTCTGTTTGTAGGTGTTGTTCTTTTTTGAATCAATTAATTAAAATTTTGAGACAAGGTCTCATGTACCTCTAAAGGGTTTTTATCGTGCGTATTATGTTTATGCTCTTCGTTTGATTTGAAGATTTAATTGTGTAAGTTCTAACAATATTAAACAACTCAACTTTTTTCCGCAGGTCTGTCATCTGATACCAAGCCTATGGTATGAAACCCTTTAAATCTCTCACACGCTGGTCTGAGTCCTGTGCAGCTTTAAAGATAGAATCTCTGTCAGATCAGTTTGCTAACTTTTCAGTATAGTGTGCCTTGAATTTTAAGTATTTGAAGTCTGGGGAAGATAGAAAAATTTGACATCTTAAAGTTACTATAGATAACCTTCTTTCCTACCAGCCATCGATTTGAAAAGATAAGTAGATTTTTGTTAGCTAAATAACCCTTTGGTTTTATGACCCTGAAGTTTTAGGCCTTACAGCTTTTGGTAATGCCTAATTTTTTCAAATTAATTAATTAATTTTGTTTCTTTGAGACAGGGTCTCTCTGTGTATCCTGGCTGTCCTGGAACTCACTCTGTAGACCACAGAGATCTACTTGCTTCTGCCTCCCAAGTGCTGAGATTAATTTTTTTTTTTTTTATAGATTTGTTTTTGGAGAGGGGCATGCCACTGTGTGTGTGTGTGTGTGTGTGTGTGTGTGTGTGTGTGTGTGTGTGTGTGTTGACTCGGGTTCTGGGTGTAAACTGCCAGGCTTGTGGCACAAACACTTTATCTGCTGAGCTATCTCACCAGCCCCAGTGTCTGATTTTTTTTTTTTTGCAGGGGGGGGGGGGGGGGGGGGGGAATCAGACAGGTTTCTGTGTAGTGTTGGTGCATGTCCTGGATCTCGCTCTGTAGACCAGGCTGGCCTCGAATTCACAGAGATGCACCTGCCTCTGCCTCCCAGGTGCTGGTGCACCACCACTGCCCGGTTCAATGTCTGATTCTTAATGACTGCAAAGAATCTGTGGAAGCAACTTAATAAATTCTATCTGCAGATACTGTTCTTTTTAAAAATCAATTAATTATTTAATTTTTTGAAACAGGGTCTCATGATTCCCCGGTCAACTGAGGATGGCCTTGAACTTGTGATTCTCTTGCTTCTACCTTCAGAATGCTGGGTTGCAGGCATACTTCACTCTGTTTGCCACACTCTGTCTGCTCCACTTCATATGGCACTGGGGATCAAACCCAGGGTGCACGCCCGGCAGGCGCTCCACCCGCTGAGCTGCATCCCCAGCCTTCTGTCTCTTACTGTTGCCTGTAACTGAAGAGAAGAAGGCAGGCATGGTAGTGTACGCCTTTAATCCCAGCACCAGGGAGGGAAGCAGAGGTAGAGGCGGTGGATCTTTATGCACTTGGAGGTCAGCCTGGTCTACAGAGCCAAGCAAGCCAGGGCTACACAGTCAGATGTCACACACAAAAATATTGTTACGTAGTGTGTGTGTGTGTGTGTGTGTGTGTATTATATGCATATATGAGAATTAAAAATGTAGAATTAGACTGGTATTTTCTGGGCCATTGTGACTAGGTAGCATGTTTTAAAAATAGAAACATATTGTGATAAAATATATTCAACTGAAATCCTGCTTCAGTTAGTATTGTAACTGAAATGGAAATATTTTATTACTGTTAACTATTAGTTAACATCGTACCAAGGCTTTCAAGAAACGAAAGAGAATTGAGTTGAGTAGTATCATTTGTCTTCTAAAGTTGAGAAGTTTGTCTTTGCTTGAAGATAACAATTAGGAATCACTTAGCAGAGTTTGTAATCTCAGTATTCAGGAGGGAGACTGAAGCAGGAGGATTGCTGCAAGTTTGAGGCCATGCTGGATTATTTAGTGAGTTCAAGGCTATCTTGGGCTTCATAGTGGGAGAGCCTGTCTCAGAAAATTTAAAAATCAGTCATACAAACTACTTTTAGAGCTTGTGTGGTAGGAATTCATGAATTTGGACTGTGAATGATGGACTTGTTTTTAGAGAGAATTGTTTATATATATGGTAGTTTTTTTCAAGCAGTGTTTGGCCTACTTTGATCTTGAGCCCTCTTAAGCCCTTTTAACCATTGATGAATAAAGGAGTTAGAGCTGAACCCTTCACCTTCACCACATTTCAGAAGAGACTTTTTATCATTGGGATTAGTAGGTGTCACGTGTTTTCTGAGTTCAGCACATAGGGTATGGTTAATGTCAGTAGGCTTATTTGAACTCAGCTTTAGACCATAGTTTCTGCCTTCTCTGTTTTTTTATTCTTATTTTTTAATGTATCTCTATTTTTGTAGGTTAACTTGGATAAACTAAAGGAAAGAGCACAGAGATTTGGTTTGAATGTCTCTTCCATCTCTAGAAAGGTAATATATATTGCTGTAACCGCTGTTTTTAGAATATTAGAACAGCCTGGGAAGCCTGTACAGATTAGAAATGACTTCATGAAGTCATTTTGTAAAGCTGGCTTCTTAGCACTTCATTTTTACAAGTCATTTGAATATCACTGCCTTACTGTTGATTATATCATATGAACTGTAAACAAAGTAACTTTGTCCTATAGATTCTTTTCTTTTCTTTTTTTTCTTTTTTGTTTTTTGAGACAGGGTTTCTCTATGTAGCTTTGTTTGGTTCCTGTCCTGGATAGTGGAGGGGACTCTCTGACCTCTGTTTGTCCAGTTTATTTGTAACAAATACACCTTCACCTCCCTCCTCATCATTTCCCCTGCCCCAACTTTCTCCTTCCTGTTACACTTCCAGTGCAGATTTTTTTTTCCCCCTGCCCGGAGTTCTTGAAAAGATAATCTTAACTTTAACTAGATGGTAATGGGGTTTTCTTTGTTCACTTCTGTTTTCACACTCTGCCTTAAGGTTAGACACATCTTTGTTGTTGTTGTTTTTTTTTTAAGTATTACTCACACAAACACACCAATTTAAAAGTTATAAAAACCTGTATAAGAGGAAATAGGGGTGCTTGGTTTGGGGTATCGGACTATATTGTGTGTTAACTGGGGTTTTGTGTGTTTTGCTCTGTGTGTGTGTGTGTGGTTTAATTTTATGGGGTGGGCGGGCAGTATTGGGCACTGAACCTAGAGACTGAAGCAGCAAGCACTCTACTGTGGAACTACAGCTACAACTCTGTTAGGGGTTTTTTGGTAGGAAATTTTCCTGATCTATGGATTGTAGAAGCTTAGGAAAGTTTAAGATACTGACCTCAAAAAGCTAACACATGTGATATTGTTTGGAGCATTGCTGAGGAGGGTAGCAGTTACATACATAGGCACCGTTCAGATAAAATTAAATAATACCTAATAGCTTTTTTGCCCCTTGCAGGGTCTCACTTTATAGACCTGACTGGACGAGAGCTTAAGACCTGGCTGGCTTTGATCAAAGAAGAGGGTGTCAGATTCCCTAGAATGAGAGTTACGGTTTTGAGTTACCATATAAGTACTGGGAGTCAAACTTGGGTCCTCTGCTGAGGAGGACCCTGTAGGTGGTCACAGCAGTCAGGAAAGCAAACAGCAAGAGTTGAGATCGACTTCGTCAACCAGGATCAAGGCTTGGAGTCTGATCCCAGGCGGGTTATTCCCAACAAATTTAAACACAACATAATTTGGAAAAAAGTTTCCTGGTATAAAGTTTCCCAGTGCATAAGGAAGCGGAAGCAGAATTACATTGAAACTCAACTCGGGGTACATGTAATTTCTCCTAAAAAGATGGGATCTAGAGATAGGCTGCCTATACTAGCTTAAGAGCCTAAGGAAGGGTCTGGCCTGGTTTTGGTCATGCAGATAGTGTAGAGGTTATTTGGGCTGTTAGCCACCTCAAGTCCTGGTTGTGGGAGCTTGGGGAAGCCTTTGGCTATACAGATGTAAGGACCATTTAGACTGTTAGGTGTAGGGAAAAGGGGCTGGCTAAAGAAACCCACCCTGATCCTGGAGCCCAGAACTTGTGAAAGAAACACAGCCTGGATCTGGGACCCGAGCCAGAGAAAAACATTTTATCCCTGAACCCAGAACCAAAGAAACACGCCCTGACTCTGAAACCAGTGCCAAAGAAACACACTTTGTCCCTGGAATCAGAGCCAGTGAAAGAAATATGCCCTGGCCTTAGAATTAGAGCCAAAAAGCCAAGAAAGGCCAGTGAAAGAAACACAGTTTGCCTCAGAAATCAGGGCCATCTCTGCCCCTGACCAACAAAACTAACCAATCCCTAAGCAGAAAAAACTAAGCCCTGGACAGAAAATCTTCTCCCTGGAGAAACTCTGCCCCTAAGAAATCCTATATAAACCACCCTGCCTGTTCAGTTGTTGGCTGTTCTTTCCCACCCTGGTAGAGGTAGCCACCCTCCTGGACTCCTCCTTCCCAAATAAATCTCTTTTCTCAAAAGAGTCTTATTTGGGTATGAAGGTCTTCATTTGCCCGTGCAGAGAAGAACCTTGTTGAGACGTCCTTTAGTGGACTGAGCAGAAAAAACCTCTCAGAGGTGTTCCCTTAGGAGACTGAGCAAGGTGGAGATTGCTATATTTCTGCAGGGGTTTCCCCTGTAGCAGAGTGAAGCAAAAGAAACAATGTTTTGGGCTGGAGAAGAAGCAGAGCTCTGCTGGGAAGCCCCCTTAAGTAGGGAGAGGAACAGGATTGCTATATCCTATGGTGAGACTATCCCCCACTGCACCCCAACTCCAGGTATAGCCTGACTCCTGAGCAGTCAGGATACCTTTCCTCCAGAGTTGCAACACTCACTTACATTTTGGTAGGGCTAAATTGTGTTTCTTTCACTGGCCTTCCTTGGCTTTTTGGCTCTAATTCTAAGGACAGGGCATATTTCTTTCACGGGCTCTGATTCCAGGGACAAAGTGTGTTTCTTTGGCACTGGTTTCAGAGTCAGGGCGTGTTTCTTTGGTTCTGGGTTCAGGGATAAAATGTTTTTCTCTGGCTCGGGTCCAGATCCAGGCTGTGTTTCTTTCACTAGTTCTGGGCTCCAGGGTCAGGGTGGGTTTCTTTAGCTAGCCCCTTTCCCCCCCTACATTAGGTATCTCTGGTCCTGGTTGTGGGAGCTTGGGGAGCCCCTGGCTGTAAGGGTCATTTAGAATGCTAGCCACCTCTGGTCCTGGTTATAGGAGCTTGATATGGCCTAGCCCAACAGGTAATGCAGATCACCAGGCTGTTAATCACTTCTGGTTTCCAGCTTTCTGGACTGAAGAACAGGTTTTTGACATCTTGACCATTGGAGAGACATCCTATGTTGCTTAACATTCTTGGTTTCTCTGGAGTTCTGTGGGCACAAGGGCTTTTGTGCTTATGCTTCCAACACACTGCAAGAGTAACAAGTGCTCTTAACCTTTGAGTCACATTTCTAGCCCTAACTCTTATATTTCTAATACTCCCCTTTTCTTTGATATTATTTGAGCCTTACATGAGAGGTTGATATGTATATCCCAGTTAGGGCTGAGCATTCTTAGCATGTTAACCAGTTATGAGTCTGCATGACTGCTACATACTGTAAAAAGTAGCTTTTCTGGCTAAGGTTGAGAGCAGGAGTGGCCTGTGGGTATAAATATAAATATTTAGAAGATAGTTTGACAATGCGTCCATTTAACAAATCAACAATTGTGAGTTCCCATCTAGGGATTATATCCTCCCTCACCATGTGCTTTTGACCAGGCTTATAGTACAAGGCATGGATTCCCACATGTGGAACAGTTCTGAAAATCAATCAGAAAGCAGTTGGTCACCTATCACAATGGTCACACCATTATTTCACTGGTGGGCATGTTTTGTTGGTATTCTAGCTTGCAGGGTCCACTGTTAGCTAAGTGCATTGATGAATTTTATGCCCCCTGTCCTCTGTGCTCTGTGTAGTGGCACTGTGAAAGCTAGCCAGTAGGAAGGAAGTTTCCCAGTCAGTTCTAGCTTGATTTCTGTGTCCCAATAGCAAAGAGTGCTGTGTATTCAGCAATGAGGTCTTATTTTATAGCATCAATAATAGGCTGTGTTACTTTGGGGGCCTTTATAATTTTCATAGGAAAATATCCCACACTGGGCACTTAGATTTTTATTTTATAACATGTGGAGGAAGCATTGTCCACCTATGCAGGATACCTTTCTTAAGACATCTTCTATAAATTATAATCTAAAAATTGTTTATTGTGGGGGTGATGGTGTGTGCCACTGTGTGCATGTCTGAGGAAGTTAGGACAGCTTGCCAGAGTGGGTTTTCTCCTTCCACAGGGTGGGCCCTGGAATTAAACTCAGGTTGTCCGCCTTGGCAGCAACTGTCTTTTTATGCCTGAGCCATCTTGCTGGCCCAAAAGTATAATTTTTAATTACAAAGTAGTATACATCCTTAGCTTACAAGTATCTTGATGAGAATGTTCATTAGAAAAAGAGTTTGGTGATATGCTTTTTCTGTTTTGTGGAGTAGTTGGAGAAGCATTGGTGGTGGTCTTTGAGGGTCTGGTAAAATTCACTAGTGAATTCATCTGGACTTTTTTTTTTTTTTTTTTTTTTTTTATTTAATCCC